AATACAATGTCCAGTAGTTTTAAATACAATAGCTTTATAGCAAATAGTGACCCATATATGGGTCAATGATTAAGACAATGTTTATGACATTTTATGACTATTTTTGGGTACAATTTCAATATTGAAAGCAATTTCTATTGAAATTGAGTTTAAACTAAAAATAATTAAATAAAGAATTAGTTTAAATAAAGTAATCAGAATACAAAGTACTTTACATGTTATACACTATAAATACTAGTAAGCTATGAAAAATTGTATCATAAAATATAATTATTAATTATTCTCAATTACTAAATATTAGTTTTAGAAAACTCGCTGTAAATTCTAGTTGTATATAACTTTTTTGTATCTAGTAAAAGTTTTAATTATTCATAAAAATTATTAATTAATTATTAAAATCACTTACAATTATTGCATTTAATGAATAAATTATTGAGCACAACAATAATCAAATCAAATGAACAATATATACAAAACTAATGCAATTTATACGTTTGTATGTCTCATATTATGAGACACAACATGAATGTTATAAAGTATTCCCACAGATATCCTATGACTTACTGAACGCATAGTTTTGTCTGCATTTAGTGTTTAACTCTTTCACATGTTTTTCAACTGATTCACTGATTATTTAAACGTCCGTTCGTTCGTTCATTACGTCACATATCAGGAGAGAGAGAGAGAGAGAGAGAGAGAGAGAGAGAGAGAGAGAGAGAGAGAGAGAGCTTCTTATTAAGAATTACCAGAATTTTACAAAACTTCTTTCACCATAATTTTTCATTGCATCAAATTTTGAGAAAATTCTATTATAATGTTAACCCTATATTAAAAACCAAAAATCAGAAATATAATATTTTTAACATAAAGATTATTATATTTTACATTTTCATTGCTGAGTTAACTTTAAGTACCAACCATTGCCGACCATTATCCAATATTTATTTTAAAGTTTTATTATTTGTTTTTAATTTTATTATATTCTTATTGTTTATAGCTTTCGGTTTTCACTCAACAGAAACCCCGAAAGTAAAGCCTAAAAACAAAAATAAATTTTTAAACTCAAATTTAAGGCCAAATTTGCCATCAATTCATTGGTTGGATAAGGAATTTCTATAATACGATATGAAGTTATTGAGCCCTAAATTGTGAGCCTAAGCACAAAAATAAATTAAATAAGAATTAAATTTGATTTATGACTTCCACTCAAGACTTTCTTATTGTGAAAGAAGTTTTGGGCGATAAACGAGAGAATGGGATGAATGGAGAGAGAGAGAGAGAGAGAGACGTATTGTTAAACTCTATTGTATTTATCATACTATTCAATAAAGAGAGAAATTTTTGCTTTTATATATATTTTCTGTAAGACATTGATTTTGAACTGATAAAGATGGCATCCAAATGTCTGTACAATGAGAAAAAAGTAGTAGATATGTAATTAATGGTCTATTTTATTGTTGGCTTATGTTTTAATGGTTATATTAAGGGAGAGAGAGAGAGAGAGAGAGAGAGAGAGAGATTTAAGTGAATTTGAATTAACACTTATATAACAATTGTGTTGATATTAATATGCATAACAATAAGTGCCCTAATCTTTGAGTTTAATTTTTTTCAATTTATTTAGTTATAAAAGATTTTTTATCCAAAACACATGAATAGACAATTTTATATAAATATGATATATTCTACTATACTGTACTTCACAATTTATTAACTCGATAAAATAGAAGTTTTATAATGTGTAAAGCAAAAAATCTAATTCTGCATTAAAAAGTATTTCATTTTATAATAATTTTTAATAAGGATTAGTATTAAGTTTGACATAAATATAATTTTTATGTTTGTGATATACATTGAATCGTGAGTTTTGTAACGAATAGAGACTTAAAATTATAAGCAAAACAAAAACTATTTTTTTACTTAATAAAAAAGGTGTAAATCGATAGAACAAATTAGCAAAACATCTAAACTTATTTTAAAAGGAAATGTCATTCCTATTGAATATACTTTTTTGTATTAAACGGTAAAATAAGTTTTCTAACAAAAACTATATCCCGGTAATGACGTGTGTATCACTATTATTGTAATGCAGAATATTCTGCGTAAGAATATTCTTACTTCATTTGTTTCCCGCATAGGGTTAGACTCGGCTAACAATAAGAAAACGAGTGCTTTGAATATGTTATGAATACTTTATACATAATAAGTATATATATTCTGTATAATGAAATTCTTATCGTATAAATAGTGTTTTGCATATAATAATAGAGTTGTTTGATAATAGAATGGAAGTAAAGTCATTACTATGACCTCAATTGATTCCGGGTATAAATTCTTGGTTAACTCTCTCTCTCTCTCTCTCTCTCTCTCTCGATAAAAAATATATTATAATTCATAAAGTGTAGAATCTATGGTTAGTTCACTTAACACAGTATATACTAAAAGTAAATGTTAAAAGAAATGCCAAAATAGGGCCGGATATCCATTAAGTGTCATAAAAATATCAGAGAGAATAGGGATGAGAGAGAGAGAGAGAGAGAGAGAGCCGTGGATTTGAAGTGCAAAACCTCTTCCATTCAAAGACACAAAAGGAAAAACAATACATTTAATGGCATTACTATTACATTGAATAGCGTTTTCGTTTGAATAGTGTTTTCCTTAATAATACATAAGTTTTTATTGCAAACAATGAAAAGCGATGGAAAATAATGCAAAACAAAACAACAAAAACTATGGGAATATAACGAATATAACGAGTCTATTGTGTATAACAAATACTAAGGGAAATGTATATAAAACATACGAAAAGTGGACTCAAAATTTGTTTTCAAACAATTCGTGCCATAAAACACATATAAAAACATGTGTTTATCAGTGGAAACAACTGTCGTATAATGTACCAAGGAAATGGATGAAATGTTTTCACAATTAAAAGCAAATGGTTATTTTATGTCTAAAATGTCTATGAATTTCCATTAATTTCTTAAAATAATTACTTTTAATGTTACCCCTAATAGTGAACCAACTTTTATATACCGGTATTATAAAAAACGGTTAAATAGATTAACATTTCAATAATTTATTTGAATTCATAGGCAATAAATATACATGTACAACATTATAAGCAAGGCTTAAAACTCAGTCATATAATCAAATTTAACTATTCATACATATTAATATAAAATAAAAAACATTTTTCGTATATAATTATTATGACAAATAATTATACATATTATTTATAAATATATATTTTGTGTAAAAAACAGTCGGTTTGTTGGCAACAAAATAAAACGGAGTCCCAAAAAGTGGTCCAAAAAACATACGAGTAGTCATCAGTCGGTACTCATATCAGGCATCTTAAAGTTAGGCCCGTGCTGTTCGGGCTCGTAGTATATCAACACAAACGCCACCCATATATGTAATATAAATACGTAGACCAGTGCGGCGGCCCGGGCTGAGGGGTAGGCGCGCAAAAAGTTTCCCAGTCTTATACTGTCATCAAAATAAGCAAACAATTAATTTGTAAATCAATTAAATGTTTTCTATTTTAATTAATAGATGCTTAGTATTGTACACTTTAAAGTTTTAGGCTATAGTCAACCCTCGATATAATAAACAGGTAATAGATTTGAGTATAAATACTGTTCACAATAGCGACAAATGTGTGTAAAATGAATGAATGAATACCTGAAGGCATCGATCTGTCCGTAAGCTCTCTTCACTCTTCGGGTGACGTTTCCGTCTTCGGGATAGTCCTCAACCAGGGGTCGAACCGACGATCGGTTCACTAAATTCGTAAACGACGGCGAGTGGTGTATACCTATCGATACTACCGGTGCCATAGGGTAGCAAAAATACAAACAATTAATAACTCATAAAACAATAGTAAAACACACTAAAAGTCTAAAAGTATCCCTAATTTTAGTCTCGCCTCCACCTCCCAGTCCCCTCATAGGCTCACACATACCTTCAGCGCTCTTCTGACTGTTCGCGAGCGCATCCCTGAGCCGCTGTTCACTCCTTTCTAACTGTAGGCTCAATGAGTGCTTCTCCGACGTCAACGACTCGACAATTGTTTGCTTTTGTATCAAATTCTCCGTCAGATTCCGGAACCGCTGCTCGTATTCCTCTGCATTACCACTCCGTTTGCTGACCACTTGTTTCCGCAACTTCTCGATCTCCACATCCCTGTCGCCGATCCGCGACTCTAATGACTGACGCGTTTGATGCAAATCCTCCTGAAAATAGCGGCTCTCGTCGCGCGACTGCCGGAGCTCGAGCTCCACGTCCTGTCGCACCTGTTGTTCACCGGCGAGCTGTTCCTCCAACGAGTGCACTCTCGTCGTCAACGCCACGACGTCTTCGTTGTTCACGCGGTCCAACTGCCGGCGCACCGACTCGTACTTCTCTCTGAGCTCCTGTATCTCGAGTACCATAGCGTCGCACTGAGACTGTAGAACACGTTTGACGGCATCGTCCGCCTCGCCAGTGCCGTCCGGGTCGCCGGTGCTCTTGAGGGCGCGTATGAGTTCGTCCTTATCGGCCAGCGTTTTGTTGGCCTTCACTTTGAACTCATTGTAATCCCTGTCCACGTCTTCGCTCATTTTCAGTGCGTTCTTCAGCCGTACCTCCAGTTCCTGATTCGCCGACTTCTCCACCGCTATATTGCGCTGTAGTATCGATATCTCGTCTACCTGTGGGGCCATACAATCAATACGTAAATTAAAAATAAGTAAACTCTAATCATTTTGTTCACTAATTAGATAATAAATGTTTTGCTAACTATAGGAAAGTCTACATTAAAAACATTATACACTTTATGATAGGATTTACAATAAAATAATTTTAAAATCAATTTACGAGTGATTTTTGGTTATCTTCGAGTCGACCGATCTGTGCCATGGTTTGGCTCTGCGTGGCCTTCAGTGCCTCCCTTTCCATCTGTAGGTCGCCCTCCAATTGGCGTATCTGTTGCCGGTAGTCCTCGACGGTGTCGTTGGTGGTGCTCGTGTTGGCCTCAGCGCTGGTACGCAACGACTCGTTCAACTGCTCTATCAATAATTTTAATAATGAACTCCAAGATTAGAATATTTTAATTCTGAGGCCAACATAAAAATTTCATTAGATATTTGGCCACAAATACTAAGTAGACTTCAAGAGATAATACATTTTATGACTGATAGCGAGTGAGTAATGAGAATTCAGTGCCGAGTTTATTAACACACAAAAACAAAATTTGTGTAAAATCTTAATTATGATTTATTTGAAATTTTACATCATTTTTGGATGTTTTTAAAAAGTACATTGTATAATTTTTTGTTTTTAAATATAAACTCAGTTATTGATTATAGAATAAAATAATCAAGTTCACGATGTTTTATTTAAGTTGTACTGTATAATACAAATTGTAATTTTATTACTGTATAGTTTAATAAATTATTTTATTAGCAATAATAGTATATTATGCTATATTTTCTATTATATTTATCAACGTACGCATACTTTTTTTTATAAAAACCTAAACAAATATTAAGTTACTTTTAATGTAAAATTAATTTTAACTACTGTTATATTCACTAGTTATAATAGTTTGCACAGATCACTTTTAAAATCCACTCTAAAATAGTCTTTATTTTCTAGTAAAACATCAAATATTTGGATCAAATTTTTGCTAATAATATAAATTCTTTATCAGTTCAAAATCAATGTCTTACAGAAAATATATATAAAAGCAAAAATTTCTCTCTTTATTGAATAGTATGATAAATACAATAGAGTTTAACAATACGTCTCTCTCTCTCTCTCTCTCTCCCTCTCTCTCTCTCTCTCTCTCTCCATGTCCTTTGTAAATGATATACCCATAGGGAACTGGAGTATAATTTTATGCACTTAACAAACTTGAGGCCATAGAAAAAAGGAAAGACAAAAATATATACACACAACATATTTTCACTTAAACCGTATAAAATAAAAAACTTTTCAATTGTATTGAATTGAAATTGAAGTGAAGTCAAGCGAATCGGTTTGTAAATTGCAT